AAGCTATAACCTAATAACAGCCTAAGAATACGGGAGGGGGGGAGGGAGGGAGGGGAGGGGAGGGGAAGGGAAGGGAAGGGAAGGGAAGGGAGAAGGAAAAAGAAAGAAAGGGAGGGAGGGGAGGAAAGGGAGGAAAGGAAAGAAAGGAAAGAAAGGAAGAAAGAAAGAAAAGAAAGGAAGGAAGGAAGGAAGGAAGGAGCGAGAGAGGGAGGGAGGAAAGGGCAATTTGAGTTTTTCTGCTACTTGCAAACCAAAGGTTCCTAACTGGATAAAGGCTCTGTAAATGTTAGTTTATCATGCGAATGGTGAGCGAGGACACTTTCCCAACCTGGGAGCAGAATCATCCTACCATCTAGGCCTCAGTTAGCCGCTGGCTTACCTGGTAAACCACTGGTTACATCTACGGAGGACTGTAGAGCAGTGATTTTCAACCCATGTGCTGCAACACACTGGTGTGCCACCAGAGGATCTCAGATGTGCTGCGAAAATTTTTGAAGATCATTAATTAATTTTATGAAAGAGTTCAAAACACCGTAAGTATATTCCTCCTTTTAAACTCTTTTTTTGATCAACATAATTTAAGCGCACCACAGAAGCTTAACTATAGGTTCAAGTGTGCCATGAGATTAAAAAAAAAAAAGGGTTGAGAATTACTGCTTTATTCTCCACAAATGTTTGACTTCTCATGAAAAAGAAAAAAAAAAAAGCACTTCTCTAAAGAGAGGTCCCTTCCAGACTTTGCTGTGAGGCCCACTGCTGAAGTACAGCAACTTTATGCTTTAAAAAGAGCTGAATTCAGAGATCTTGGCAAGTAGGGAAGATATTTGGAGTCGATCTGTACACAACTATTTTTGTGGTTCATATACAATTCTTGATCTTGATTTGACATTTATGCATTCATAAGATGGGAATCTAGGCCTAATAAAGTCAAGCACGGATTTTTCCTTTATTTTCACTTTGATGCTAGCCACTTCCTGAACTGTTTCCAGTGAGCCCAGACATTGCATGGACATCAGCTTAAATAATCATGTTACACCTCTGGCTTGGATCCCTGCTGAGCAAGCAGATAGAGCCCACTGAAAATAGAGGCGCTGTGATGCTGATAAAACCTCAAGTTTACCCAGATCTGCCTCCTGCCTGTCCTATAGGATTTTCGAGGAACAGAAAATTTTCCTAACACTTCAAGATGGTATCATACCTAGGTTATCTAACTTGTTACAAAGTTTCTCGTCAGCCTTAATTTCTACCCCTTTAAATTCAAAATCTAAGGCTATTCTATGATGTTTGCAGCATGATAATTATTTTTCTCTTTAAAATTGGCAAGTTGGAGGGGGGGGAATGGGTGGAGGGAGGAGGATTGGAGGAATCACTTCTGAGGTTTACCTTACAAGGGTACAAGTGAATCTAAGAGTAGAATGTGAACATTTTAAAACAATAACTAAGAAAATGACATGAAGGCTATGTTAACCAGTTTGATGGAAGTGTTTTGGATTGTGTGTGAAAACCCCACACTGTACCCCAGAAGGGCATTAATATACATAGTTACCATTCAATTAAAAAAAAAATTGGCAAGTCGGTGCAGTTTTTTGGATTTATTTCTCAGGTTTTATTTATCTTTGTCTTTGTTTTTATCCTCGAGTCTTTTAAGTAAGTTTTCCTGTGCCTGCTTGCTCCAAACATATTTTTCTGGTCTAATGACTATTTTTAATGAGTTCAGCCTGTGCCTTCTTGTAACAAAAAGAAACTTGGGAGAGTGAGGAGCATATTAATGAGTTATCATTTTCTTTTTCCTTTTATGGTGGCCAAAAAAAAAAAAAACCTATCAGATCCAGTCTCATTTTTGATGTTTATAGAAATAAATAGCATCATGCCTTTTGCACATGATCAGTAATTATGTCCTGGCTGCAGACTCAGGGCACCCGCCTCCAGAATTTTGTTATCCCCAAACCCAATGGCTCTGCCATTAATAGTCTCTGGGAATCTATGTCCCAGGAAATTGCTTCCTGTTTTATTCTTAGTGGTCTTCCCTGCAAACTTTCAACTTTGAATCTCCAATTTCAGGATTGAAAGGGTAACCCTTCTCCTCCTCTTCACAAGATAGGGAGAAATGAGTCAGATGGGAGAAAAGTCCTCAGGGAGTAAAATACTGTGTGTGTGTGTGTGTGTGTGTTAATCTACACCCACAATGTAACAAGTTATACTAAATACTTTCTAGCCTTGAAATCACTTGTCTGCCTCCTGCACTGCATGATCACTTGGGCTGATCTTTCTTACCCTCAATGAAAATCCGCCCTCTTTTTCACAACAGTTCCTAAATTCATGTTCATGCTGACCCTGGGCCAGGTTCTGGGCTCCCAGGGGCGAAGCAAAGGAACTCACAGCATTGTTAAGAAGAGATCCCTTGAATAGATCCTCTGGGTCCAAGTATTGCTGTAAATCAGGAAGAACACAGAGTTTGAGTGAGAAGTCAGGGAGATGAATGGGAGAAGCCTGTGGACTTTGTAAACCAGTAAGCAGTTCCCAGGTAAAGGGGGTAAAGGCCCTGCAGGCAAATGGTCACCCCTGACCAGTGGGCACCTGAGCTGCTTTGCTACTTCTTTGCAAGCTGCCCTGTGACTGGTCTTCCCCTTTTCCGACTAATTATTTAAGTCTTGTGTTGTGAGTCAGCTCCTGCTGCCTCTGAAAAAAGATGTTCCCTCCACCACCTACTTTTATAAGACAGCGTGGGCATTTCTTACATGAGGAGCAAATGAATGCATTAATGGATGAATGGATGTCAAACTAGCTGCAGTGAGGCTCAGAAACTGAGAGGAACAGGCCACCTCTCCCACTGTCTGTCTGATAGTCAACCTTGTGGGATGAAAGGGAACATTGTGGATGAAAGGGTGACAGCTGGCCATTCTGAATTTGTACATAAAGCTTGAAGGGGTGCTCATTAGAATGCTTCAGTCCTGAAAAGCCCCCTTCTCTGTGCAAAAACAAAAAAGGCCATCAAAGAGACTATTGATAGACACACTGGGAGAGCTGGAAGGAAGGCAAGATAGCTCTGTGCTGGATCTTCACGATGCTGGTGGGCGAGGATTCTGCCATGGATGAGAACGGGGACAAGAGCATTCACAAGATGAAAGAAAAAACAAACAACAACAACAACAACAAAAATGGAAGCGCCATGGCTTTGGCCCAGAATAAGGGTTCTGAGCCCGGATGCCTGAGGATTACAACATAGAGTAGAATGGCCATCAACACAGACCATGACGCTCTATAAGGCTGAATTCTCTCTGTCACTGGAGTCCATGAGGAAGCCACTGAGGAAGACACCCACAAGAAATTCACAGAATATGGGAAAATAAAAAACATCCATCTCAATCTGGACAGGCAAATAGGATACCTGAAGGGGTATATTCTAGTTGAGTATGAAACATACAAGGAGGTCCAGCCTGCTGTGTAGGGACTCAAGGTAAAACCCCAAGGGTGGGACAGTCAATCAGTGTTGACTGCTCTTTTGTTCTACAAGAGGAGAGGTGACCATAAAGGCAGCAGGAGTCCAGACCCAGAGAGGACACTGGCAGATCTTCTTGTCCAGGTGTTCTCTACAGGATTCCATTTGACCGTGCAATCTTGGAGAAAAAGGGCTGGGGTGGAACTTGATGTGTTTATAGTTAATCTCTTGCCCTACCTGCTAAGTGTTTCTTTTGAGTTATAAATAAATGTTCCATTTTTGTTTCTGTTTTTGTTGTTGTTGTAAAGCGGAGGGCCGGCCAGAGCCAAGCACATGGGCGTCTCCATTTTTGTTTTCTAAACAAAACAAAAGCACGCTGAAGACTGGAAGGTGACCGGCCTCAACCGCAGGACAGGTGCTTCTCCATCCCATTAGCACAGTCCAGACCTTCTTTTGTTCCTTTTGCCCCAGCAGTGCCCTAAAGAACGCGTCATGGGCCTGTGTTCCTCAACGCCTGGAGAAGTGAACCAAAGCACTGCGATGCTAACCTGGGAACCCGACAGGGACTCTCCGGAGAGCAGCGGCCTCTGTCGCCCAGGCAGCGGGAAGGGGCGGGGCCGGAACTCCTCCCTCAGGGGGCGGGGCAGGTCACGTGGGAATGGCGCGGCGGCCGGCGAGGACGCGCAGGCGTGAAGCTGCGCAGGCGCGGGGTCCGCCCCTGGGACCCTCGGGCCCGGGAGGGTTTGGGCCCACAGTGTCCCTGACTCGGGCCCCAGAGCAGGCAGGAGAAAAGTTACATTCCAGGTAGGTGCTGCACGCTGGGTTCCGTGAGGCACGTGACCTGCGTGTCGGCTGGGTCTGCCGCGGCGCAGGTGAGGAAACTGAGGCAGGGCCAGGTCGGTGGTGCTCAGGAAAAGTAGGCGCTGTTTTTATGAGGTTCTCCCCTTGGGCCGGTGCAGCCCCCGCGTGGAGCACCTTCGGAGACTGCCCGGAGTGGCCCCGGCCTTCCCCCAGCCCCCCTCAGAGGACCATGCCCCATCCCGGACCGCGGCACCCCCTTGCCCGCCCCAGCTGCCGCGGCCAATATAAAAACCCGGTGCTCGGGATTAGAAGACCCGAGATCGGACTTTGGCCCTTTTGTGACCGGTTCTTCCCCGCCCACAGGCTTTGAATGAGGCTGGTGGCACTGATCTGCCTGAATTATTCGAAGAGCTGAGAAAAGGGCTCGGGCATCTCGGCTGGCTGGAGTGCGTCCGAGGGCTGCCCAGCTCCAGGCGAGGGATCTGGCCGTCCCCCTCTCCGAGTATAGAGTCTTGTATTTTTATGAGGGCACGGTTTCTAGCTTTGTTCAGAGCGATCTCAGAGGCACCTGTTACCTCTCTTCCCTAAAGGTTACAAACTTCTGACTTAAAATTGGAAAGAGACCAAGTGTGAATTTCAAAACACTGTGCTGAGATCTGAGAATGAAAAGGCGAACGAGGCACTAATCGAAAAGTCATTCCTCAGGGTGGTTGCAGGGCTGGGAGCTGAAGGAGAAGGTGGAGATGGCTAGAGGCAAGGTGGAGATTGCTAGAGGCAAAGTAAGGGAAGTTAAGACACCCCGCTTGGCAAGGGCTGTGGGAAAAGACGCACAGCAGGGAGTCCAGAAGCCCTGGTGGGGCTGAAGTCCAGCTGATTCTCCGCCTCTTTTTCTACCACACTATGCTGTTTTCACAGACAATTACGGGAACCTAAACTTAGTTTTCGGTTCTTGTTTTTATTTTAGTGTATTTTCCTTTGAGCCCGGCGATGATTTACAAATAATAGTAATTATTTAGGACTTATTTTGAGAAGCATTGTTGGGGAGCCAGCTTGTGTTTCTGGATGAAGAGGGTCAGGCCGCCTGTCACTGTTAGCCAAGAGACAGGGATAGGTCCACCAAACTTAATTTGTCAGAAAGCAGGTGATTCTGGAGAATAGTGAGAGTAGCCTCTCCAAGACTGTTCCGTTTTACCATTTCCAAAATCATAGTTGTATACATAAAAGTTCAAAGCAAAGACTGTATTAATCCTTCTTTTAAATAATAGATAACTCAGTGACCCGTTAATAACATTCCAATTCAAAAGTTCATCTCCTAAATCAATCCACCCCAGTTACTCAAGTTAAGCATTTTTAAGGTGGAAGCTAAATTTATAAAACAATAAGAATGGGAGAAAAGAGGTTAAAGGTCACTTAGGATGTAAACCAACCAGACCAGCTGTGTCAGTCATGTCTGCCCTAGCCTGACTGACTGACCACCTTTTTCTTGCTACATTTGCTTTCATTCTCTACTTCTATTACTACATTTCACATCTGTGAAATAGATTTTGAATGGGAATAATTATTATGATTTACTATATTTGTTTAGAGATTGAACTTATTCCGGCGAGGGACGGGTTAAAGTGACACTGGGAATAACATGTAGTTAATGAAAGATAACGAGGGATATATTCAGTATGATAATAAAGATGTCTGAGAACAATGTATTTCCTTTTTTAATATTAAAAAGATTTTAATAATGCTAAGATCATATAATTCATTGTATTTTCAAATAAAGCGAAACCTACTCTATAAGTAGGTTTCAGTTTTATTTATGTTCATGGTACTGAAGCTTCTTAAAGCCAATATTCAGGTGAGTTATAAAGCAGAATGTTCAAAAAGAATGACCTGTGCCTCACTTTGAGGAACAATTTTTTTAATGAAGTTGAATCTCCTTCAAGCCACGACTTTCTAGAGAATTTGAGGAGGTATTACAAATTGAGACAGTTACATTATACCTTGCTGACTGATAAAAACTATAATATTCAAGTCTCTTCCCCTGCATTTCCTGGTATCTTTAGTTTTTCTTTAAATCGAACAACTTTATAGATCAAAAAAATTATTAAAACACAGGCTAAGATGAAAACAGCTAGTAAAATGGGCGGCGCCTGTGGCTCAAAGGTATAGGGCACCAATGCTGCAGGTGGTGGATTCAAACCCAGCCCCAGCCAAAAACTGCAAAAAGGAAGCTAGCAAAATGTTAAAAAGCCTTGTTCAACTTCTCAACTTCTTGTGTACCAAGTAGAGATGTTTTCCCAGACACTGATGCAGCATCAGTTGGTAGAACACTGTTCTTTTCCAAGTTGAAGTTAACAGAAGAAGTAAATTGTATTTGCACAGGTAACACTCCAGTAGTCTCTAATAGATCACCAAAAGTATTCTCTTGAAAAAAATCTACTGGCAGGTGAAGTACAAATTCGTTCCCAGAAAGTAACACTCTCAGTGTTGGAATGTTCCAAATGTAACCTTTGCGGTTACTTTAGGCCAGGCCATCATTAGGGCAGTAGTCTTGTGATGAATATGTAGAGATTTTACAATAGCCCAAGCTTTGTATACATTTGTTGAAGGTGTTACACAATTTCTAATATCAGTCCTTTTAATATAATGCAATGCTCTGTCAGGCATGGAAGGGGAATTCTGGCAATAGGTGCTTAAAGTAATGGCTGAAGATGCTAGCTGGTCTCAAAGGTCTCAAAGGTCTGCAGTTATATTCCCATGGATTAAAATTTGCCTGAAGATGAATCAATGAAGACAATGGCTTAAGGACCCCTGGATGTAAGTCCCAAGGTCTGGAAGCCTGTCCCCCATGGAGTCCAAATTCTTGGTCATTTTCTCAAGATGTGTGGACAGGGCGTGGGCTGTTGCAGGTTTGTCAATAATGTATTTTTTATTCCAACAACTGAAGCTTTTAATTTTTGTTTTTGCACAGAACTTGCTGGTCTGGCTCAAGTTCACTGGGTTTTCTCAGGGGGTTAAGGCTAGATTCAGGAATGATGTAATGCAGACAGTTTGACCATTGCAGGGGTTGTGAGCAGGATGTCCCAGAGGCCAGTTTACTTTTACAACCTAAGTTATTCCTCAGGTTTTTCTTTCTCAGTCTTGAGGATAACCTGGTCACCTGCTGAAACAGAAGTGGGTTTCAGAAAGCAGGGCAAGGGGCCTTTTTTTAAGTAGTTCAGGGCGTGGCTTGGCGCCTGTGGCTCAAATGACTAAGGCACCAGCCACGTACACCTAAGGTGGCAGGTTCGAATCCAGCCTGGGCCCGCCAAACAACAATGACGGCTGCAACCAAAAAATAGCTG